AGGCAGAGAGAGAGAGAAGAGAGGGACAGAGACAGAATGAGAGAAAGAGGCGGAGCGTGAGAGTAAGAGTTGATGAAAGAGGCTGAATTTGACAAATTTCCTGCAAAGATGTGAGAACAACGAGAGAAAAAAGTCTATTAAGGATAAAAAAAGGAAAAGAGAGGCTGAAGAACATAGATCCAAATGTAATAGAGGGGTAAGGACACATGGAGGTGGGGGAAGGACACATGGAAGTGGCTATATGTGACTATATTTAGCGCAAAAAAAAGCGCGACGGTAACTAGAAAGTTGAGAGTTTGAATTCAACTTGAGAATCTGGATTGGTAGAGGAGGATGAAAAGGGAGGCAGAGAGGACAAGATGAAAGGAACAGATGGAGGAGAGGCGGGTGGAAAGAGGCACGGAGACGAGAAACAGGAAGAGCGAGGGGAGGAGGGGAGGCCAGCCGTTGTATTATTAATTGTGGTGAGATGTCCTGAAGTGCAGGAGCGAACCGGTCGTCCATTAAGAGCTCTGACGCTCCTGCTCCTGCTTTCCTCCTCTATTTTTGTTCTGATTTATTTCCAAATAGAGAAGCATGACTCACTCTATCCTTATTTCCAACCTGTAACTCCTCTCTCCTTGTCACCTCTCCTCGTTTTAAGTGAGTGGCAGTAGTTTTGGACTGATTCAATATCTTCACAGCCAATGCTGGTATAGTTATTCTTAGATGTTTGGCATGCATTTTGTTTTTCCTTTTTCCTTTAAATTGCTGTATAAGCTGCTGAAAGACTTTGACGAAAGACTGAATTTAAACAACAACCCTTTACAAATCGTTCCAGGCCAGGTAGAACATGCATGCGATCAACAGTCAAAGAGGCGCACCAGTTTGGGCCAAAGAAATATGTAGAATAGAAGAAAGGTGAGAAAAACACAGGAAACTTTTGCTACAACTACACACACACAGAGTTTTGCCAAATGTGACATCCAATATTTTCTCATTATACTGTATTAAAATTCTGACCAGTGTAACAAGTGTGCACCACTATTTAGTGTCATTCAAAAATAAAATGCTATAGTTTTCAAATTACATCTGATGTTGAATATTTAAAGACATTTATAGCTCGCATGATCAACAGTTGACCGCAAAACATTCCTGTTGTTGTGCCACAACTTGTGACGGGTACCGAACTGATCTTATCAACCCTGCTCATATTGATGCTTCTGGTTCGGTTCTTTATCAATTATCTTTTTGGGTCAGTTTGATGAGTCAAGAAGTGGTCGAAGAAATACGTAAAAAGGATTATAACGGATGTTTATTCACCGGCGGCAACAAGGGGAAAGCTACTAGAATGAAGGCGGAGCAGATGAGGGGATGATGTCCTTTGCACAGAGAAGACCCCGATACGTCGCTCACGTTCAGCTCCTTCGACATTACGTTGGCTTTTAACTTCTCATGTGTTTTATTGCTGCTTTTGTTTGTGTGGGTTGAGTCTCCGACGGTTGGAGCAGCTCAGCATCAAACACAGACACGAGATGTGTCCTTCAGTGTGATAATCAATGAATTTACACCAAAACTAAAGTACTTGAGGAAGAATCGTTGGAGCTTATCAGTACTCCAGTCTTCAATCATTTGACACCAGTTTTTGGTTCCCATCCCTCATGCCAACGGCGAGTGGCACTGCAGGATAGGTACACTCAGTGTGTTTACATGATGGTATAATTGGAATCTTTGCTTAGTCGGACTATGCTGTCTTTCGGGGGGAGGTGCTATTATCCCAATATACATGGCAGTGAATAAATCATTGGCCGAAAGCATCTCATACCCGATACGATAGGTGGCGCTGTTTCCATTACAACTAGTTGTGATACAGCCATTTCCGCTTGACCTCTTCACCACTACCAACAACAACCAACAACAACAAGATCAACATTAGGAGAAAGATGGCGAGCGGAGAGCAAGGTGAAGCTACATCCCTCTACTATGTGTGCATGATGTTAATAGGAGCACAGCGAATGCGAATGGCGCTATTGGCTGATTTGATAACGGAGAGAAGACGCCGTCGGGATCTCAAGCATCCGCAAAGACACAAAGTCCAGTTCCTCATCCGATTCACCGTTACATGCCGCAATAGTCGAACTATCAACTGGATCGGATTGAGTTACCCAGGGGTGTTAGTCGGATCGTAGTCGGACCGCACATAGTCGGACAAAGGTGTTTACATGAAACGGATCATTCGATTTCAGTCCGACTAAGCCAGTTATTCCAATCCATGTAAGCACGCTGACAGGTGCGCGCACACACACTCACGTACACACATTTAATTAATAGACTGGGGAGTGTGCATGTTTGGGTCTTTGTGTTTCGGTAAGTTTGTGGTATTTGTTTGGTGACCAAATGTCAGAGTTTGTTAACATTTTATTAGCTTGTGTCTTTCAATTATTTATACTATTTTATGTCTCTAAAAGTTGCTATGAAGGAATAGTTTAATTTATACATTGTCATCCTTCGCAGGATTCAAACCTGTTCATTTGAATCTTACTCGTATGATGTCAAGACACACATACACACAATAACTCAGCAATGACATCACACACAAAGACATCACATGAGCACAAACACAGCAATGCAGATACATGTCACAATCCCTAATCAGTTTCCTTCAGATGTGCACACACACACACACACACACATACACACCCTTCAGACACACATTTAGGTGGACTGGTTGCAGTAATCCTAATAATTGTTCCGACAGCACTGAGGACAGCTGTGGAAGCCTGAATGGCAGACTGGACCGAGAAATGGCCTCATTCACTCATTCAATAACACCAGCCACCTGTGTGTGTGTCAGTGTGTGTGTCTGTGAGTGTGTGCGTGTGCGCTCGTGTGTCATGCTGTTTCATCATCGTTCAAGCCTTCACCAGAAGGACGTTTCATCAGACGCTGAGTTATTCTGTTTAATATGTTTCTGTTGATTTTTAGGTGAATATACACAACGTGCTTCAGACACTTCGTGCGCCTTTCAAGCTCCATCAAAGTAGACGGCCTTGATACAAGAAATAATGCTCACGCTAAAGAGAAACAGTACATGCTATTTGGAAAGGTTAAGGGAAAACAGAGTGGGAAACAACTACGGTCGAGAGGTCAGAGGGGACAGAATGAACCTAGTAACTGTATCTCTTCTTTCCCAGGATACACTGCACCCCCCTTACATATTTCATCTCTCCTGCCATTTCTATTTAAAATAAAACTTAGCTGAATTATTGATTAATCAAGCCTGCGTACACTCATCTGCGCTGCCTCGTCAAACACATTCATTTTTTAGTGAAGGCCCAACGTTGGATTCAACCACAGGACATGTCCTTGTGCGGAGTGAGAGGAGTGAAGTAGACAACTGTCTCTTAACAAACACGTTTTGCAGTAATCATTCGTACAGCTGCATTTATTCAGAAATATACCGTCTTTCTTTAGCGATAACTTGCATTCAGTGGGACGTTAGTGGGATAAAAAAAGTTGAAAGGGAAAATATGTTTCAAAAGTGGCCAATGCTCACACATGTGACACATACTATCATTTCCTTATTGGGTCAACATGTCACATGTTACTACTGAGATTAAATCAAAACATATATATATATATTCTCTTTTTTAATTCACCCTGTCTGCAGGGCTCCAGACCTTAATCCACAAAATACAACCACAAAGATTTACACACACTCTTTTCATAAAATGTCTTCATATCTGCATGTATGTGACAGTTGATAGCTTTGATTTGTCACGGTCTAAATAACATTTGGAACATGAGCATATGTGTATAAGTAGTACTTATAAAAAGCCTTCTAGGGTTGTATACAGGTTTATCTCCAGGTCTTGAGGCAGTTACAGTACATTACAGTGCAACGATCAACAACTGTTTTCCCCGGGGACCCTGAAGGCGTCACGCTGCCTCAAAGAAAGTAAACACGAGTCATTCTCGATCTGCTTGACTGACGGATTTACACGCATCTCTGCCTCTTCCTGTCTTATCTTACATCTACTTGTGTTGACTCAGATTTTCTTCCCTCTCCGCTACTTTTTTAACATTGTCCCTTTCTCACCTGTAATTGTATTGATCGCTTTCCTTGTTGGACTTAATACATACATCCTGAAGTCTCTATTTCACTTTTTTAACTTCCTTTATTTCCCATTCTGTTGCTACCTGTATTTCTTCTTTTTACTTGGAAGCCAGAGTCTGGATCAATAATGAGGAGGCGAGAGGGTCGTTAACCTTTACACTCGTTTCATTGTGGCATGAGCAGAATCATTTTGGAGGAAAGAGAGAAAGCATAACTGAAAAGGAAGTCTGTGGTTTGTGATTACCGAAACTTTAATTCAAGCTTCTCTGATCCTTTGTCCTCACATCTCTCTTCACACCACCTCAAACTTATTTGCATAATTTCTCATCATGTATTTCCATATTTTGCTGATTGTGTCCAGATTGATATTTTGGCCTTTTTATTTCCCCCTTTCATCTTTTCTTCGTGCTCTTTCTTTCTTGTTTTGCTTCTCTAAAATGTTTAAAGATTAGGCTCCACTCATTTAATATCTAATCAGTGCATTGTAAGTTCAAACGTTCCTGTTTGAACGTCACAACCTAGATGGTATTCAAGAACTTTAAGGATTTTAATTAGATTTCCAATCTCTTTCTCTCTTGCCGGCTCACTCGCTCATTTGGTAAACTGCAAATGTCTAAACGTGGAATCTAGGCCTTAAAGGTAGTGGCCGTTTCACAGTCCTACTGTCAAAAAGCAAAAACCATGTGGTCAAATGTAATGATATTGGGCCAATCAGCACTAAGTATGTGAACGCTCAATTTGAATGTGTAATTTTCCAATTTTGCATCTGTGGACAGTAAAGTTTAACATAAAACAGCACAACAGTGTGTTGTGAAATTCATTCTTCTTGCTTCATGTATCTGTGTGTGAAAGACTTGAGACTGTGTGCACACTGCACTGCATGTGTGTGTAACACTCCTCTTACCTCCACCAGATGTGGCGTGGGGTTGAAGCCACACAGGTTACACACTTGGCCGTTGCACTGCGTACAGGTGTTGTAGTTGGGCGGGTCGGAGTTGCCGATATTCAGCTCCGTTTTACAAAGAGGACAGTTCACTTTAGGCTTCACAGGCTCTGGAGCAGGCACGGGGGCCACCACGGGCTCCTGCTTCTGAAGTGCCTTTTGCAGATGAGTAGGTGTTTGCTGATATTGCTGTCCTTGCGGTCCTTTCTGATGATGCAAGGGTGACTGTTTTTGCGGCATTCCTTGTTGATGGGGCGTGGTCTGCTGCTTCTGGCTTGATGCATGGGGTCCACTGAATTGGGACCCTCCCATTTCATTCAGAGTACGAGTACCCCCCATTTGGCCGGATGGATAAGGGCCTCCTATCTGACTCTGTGTTTGAGGACCCCCCGTTTGGCTTGGTGGATAAGGGCCTCCTGTCTGGCTTGGTGGATAAGGGCCTCCCGTCTGGCTTGGTGGATAAGGGCCTCCCGTCTGGCTTGGTGGATAAGGGCCTCCCGTTTGGCTCGGTGCATGAGGACCCCCCATTTGGCCAGGTGGATAAGGGCCTCCCGTTTGGCTTGGTGGATAAGGGCCTCCCGTCTGGCTTGGTGGATAAGGGCCTCCCGTTTGGCTCGGTGCATGAGGACCCCCCATTTGGCCAGGTGGATAAGGGCCTCCCGTTTGGCTCGGTGCATGAGGACCCCCCATTTGGCCAGGTGGATAAGGGCCTCCCATTTGGCTCTGCACATGAGGACCAGCCATTTTGCTCGCATTATGAGGGCCACCCATTTGGCTCGGTGCTTGGGGGCCACCCATTCTGCTCGACGCTTGAGGGCCACCCATTTGAGTTGGACCATGAGGGCCCCCCATGCTGAATGGTTTGGTGCCAGGGGCCGCTTGTTGTTGCTGCCTGTTGTCAGAAGCTGCATTACTGAAGACCACATTGCCTCGTGCGGGGCTTGGCTGGGTGGAGGCAGTGGGTAAAGGGTCAACATTGATCAGGGTACTCGCCTGATTGAGCAACGAAGCCCCAAAGCCAAACAACTTGGTCAGACCATCTTGGGCAGGAGGAGGGGCCTGGCTCTGGGGTCTGTGGGCCGGCGAAGACCCGGCGCTTCTGGTCTGGTCATGGTGCCGCGCCATAGACTGGTGCATTGGAGATCCGCGACCCAAATCGGGCTGGGACGGAGCCCTGGCCAAGCCGGGGAGGGGCACGGCGCCGGGGTGGGGAATCCGTGGACCCCCAGGCTGGTTGGGACCTCCTGTAGGGACACCGACAGCTCCCGGAGCCCCGGTATCTCTCTGAGAGTACGGGTCTGACCGCATGCCCTGCTGAAGGGACCCTGTCTGAGTCTGGGAGCCGCCAGGGCCTGAGTGTCTCTGCAAGCCTGGAGAGGTATGAGGCGGAGCCTGGGGCCCTGACTTGGACCCAGGGTACGACTGGGGCTGAGACTGGGGATACTGCTGGGGCTGGGAGTATGGCTGGGACTGGGAGTAGGGTTGGCTCTGGCTGTAAGGCTGAGACTGATGCTGCTGATGTTGTGGATGCTGCTGTGGATGATGCTGCTGTTGTTGCTGCTGTTGCTGTGGATGATGCTGCTGCTGCTGCAGTTGGCGTTGGCTGGGCTGACTCTGTGCCAAAGGTTTGGACGGTGCCGCTGCTGCTGGCTGTGTTGGCTGAGGTGTAGGCTGCTGAGGCTGAACGATGGGTTTGGCTTGGTGGGACGGAGAGTGAATCTGCTGTTGGCTCTTAGATCGAGGCGTGGTCATATCAATGCCAAGAGCTCTTTGCATCTGACAGTTCAGACACAGCCACTCCTGGACCTGCAGACAGAGAACAAACAGGTCGCAAGTTATTCTAACCTTCTCCAGAGCATAATCGTTTTAGTTTGTATCACATAGATATTCTGCATCAGCTTGTTCAAAGTGAAAGATATTAGATGTATTCCGCATCATCATCATGTAACCTCCCAGATCTTTAAAACCTTATTGGAATTTTAAATGAGAATCTCTGCTTTTCATTACTGAGTGGGCCGTTGAAGGTTGAAGCAATGTTGAAAGACAGCATAGCTTTTAAAAATCTCTCTCTCTGATTAATTGATCTTCCCTTTCAAAGCCGATAGCTATCGATTGCGTTAAATATCACCGTCAACTCAGAGGGCACCAGTATCTCTTCATAACCACATGGACACCGTATTCATTCAGCCAACTTCAAAGCTTAAGATGATAGAGAGACTTCATTTGGATGGCTACACATAGAACATTGTCCATCGTTGTTCTCGTTGAAAACAGACGTATGGAGAGAATAGTTGTAATTAACCAAAAATAGAACGAGAGAGACGCAAATCAACCGTAACTGCAGCGTGATTGCTGAGCCAAAACCCAGAAAGCATTGCATCTTTCACAGTCACACGCATAAAACACAGGTTTGCACGTAGAGTCATATAGTAAACGTATAACAGACACATACGGTCAAATAAATGAATAAGAAACATCCATCAGCATAAAAACATCACCCCTCCTGCTCCTCATCTCCACGTCTTCCTCCTCTTCTTCCTCCAGATGAGAGCTGATACTCCCTTGTGTCCGAACCTTGGCTTGGCTCTCTGATGTCTCCCGACTGCAAAGGACACACAGCTCCTCTCTGAACTGTGTCAACCTGCTGTCGTTCTGTCTGTCCTACTGTGGCTTTGCGTCCACCACATCCACCCAGCCGCCATGTACGCTGCTATTTTAGCTCCTCTGCAACCAGAGCAAAGCCGGTAAATCTGTGCACGTTTCCAGCGTTTCTCCCGTCCCCTTTCCTTCCCATAATGCAATGCGCAAACGTACTGTATCACCCCACTCGCTGCCCCCCCTCCTTGTTATTAAAGGACAAGTGGCTGCGATTTTTTTGAGGGGAAGATGTGGAGAAGAAAATGTCTGCATCAGTCACGTAGCCAAACTAAGCACTTCGTCCCACCGCGCCGTCCCAGCCGGCTTTGCTGTCTGGCAGTTTCTAGCTTGGCAGCATCACTGATCCCATTCTGTTAACTCAGCGGCTGTAGCCAATGCTACAGCTTGACATCCTCCTTTCCTGCCTAACACATTCTCTTTGTAGCTGTCTTTCCCCTCCTCTCTGCTTCTCTCCTTCACGTCCCCCTTACACTTTTCCGTTTTCACCCCCATTTTTCTGTTCTCACTCTCTCTGATCAGCTTAAAAATGTAGGTCTCGCTCCTTGAATAGCTGAAGCAGAAGGAGATTTGAAAGTATAATTTTGCTGTGCAGGCTCCTCCCACGTTGCGCTGCCATAATTACATCTGATGAAGATAGCAAGAGGGAGATGAAGAGAGGTAGATAGGGAGAAAGAGAAGGGAGGTGGGGTTGGGCTGGTTTTAATGAGTCTTCATAAGCGACTGCAGAGACAGAAGGAACGAGGCATAAAGCGAGGGATGGAGGGATGGAGGGGTGGAGGGATGGAGGGGTGGGGGGGTGGGAAGGAGTAGGGAAGGGAGACGGAGCAAACCGCGGAGGGAGACGAGTCAGCAGTTTCTTAATCCAGGCGGCTCGTCAGCTCCCATCATGTCGGGCTTAATCTACAGCAGCACAGAATATCCACCTCACTGTGGTTAAACCCAGTTAATCCACAACACACCTGTGTGAGTCCTGTTGCTAACAAGGGAGGAAGAATCCTGTTCGTTTAAAGATGCAGAGAAATGAGTGCAGATGAAACAATAACGAATTGTATTTGTTAGAAATGGAGATGGAGATGGAGAAACGGAGATCCAACCAAAGAATTCAAACATCATAGAGGAGCGAATCTAAGAGGTCTTTTCTTCCATCCCTGTGACCCTGATGATGTACTGAGAGACCAGCTAAAAGGACGTGAAGTGGGTGACTGGGTAGTATGTGGTCACACACCTCCTCTTTTGAGTTGGAGCTTTATCACACTCATACATGTTCACTACCTTAATGTAAACCGTAAACACAAACACACACAAACACTAGCCTTTAAAAAGTCTGTTTGAGCAATTTCTTGTGGCTTCGGTATGAAAATTGCGACATGGATACAAACAGAGCCACACTCAAAAAACACACACACACACACACACACACAGAGTACACGCTGAGACTCGCTGACCAGCTGTCATCATAAAATATTCACATCACAGATCTCCAAACACTATGAATACTGAACAGGTGGTAACGTCATGTCCCGGAGAAAACTTCCTTTAAGTTTACTTCACTGAACACAACAAAACAACTCAGGCGGTGAAACCCCATCAGAACCATCTGACAGTGTTTATCGCCTTTAATATAACCGCATTGGCGTTTCACAAAGGTTTGAGTACAATAACATTATTAAAATTCATAGTTTATGAGCTACAAGCTGCAAGTAGGACTAATAGGGTCGATTGTATACACTGTAGCGTGTGCTGTATTGTAAAGTGAGGCTGAAAACAAGGGCGTATCAGCACTCTATTTTGCTCTGCTGCACAAGTTTGGCAAAGTCAAGGTGCGACACAAACCCCAAAACCACATCAACATTTCCATGAATTCATTATTAAGGAAAAAGAACGTTTGATTCAATCAATGTCTGAGGTGTGCTGACACAGTAAGAATCGTGTTTTTTACATTTCACATTCACACTAAACAAGAAAGAGTCAACTAGTAATAAAACAGAAGCAGAGGTTCTGTTACTATGGTTACTGTATCTGCAGTTTATCATTCAGACACAACTAATACGCTGATTTCATTTGTAAATTCCTATGATGTCGCCATTTGGTCGACCGCTATTTGTGACCCTCCACTAGTTTGCATACTAATGTTTATAATTTGCAACTAGTGGAATTATTTTACAACTTTTTTTAATATTGGTATTTGGCGTACAAAACATTTGATTTGTGTGTTTTGTGTTTACTATGAAGAATGAAAGAATTGCACATGCTGTGATGAAAGATTCGACCTGCATCCCCCTGTATAGAATCAAACTTGATTAATCCATATAACAAAAACTCAATTTCATTATTACCTAACACTAAGAATCACGTGAAAGGAAAATGAGGTATAAACTATGATCTTAAGCATGACTTCTAACATTTGTTTTGTTTGCATCGCCAGAGAAGAGAAGCAGTCGCAGTAGAAGTAGGGAACAACACCTGCTTCTGACTATTGCACGAGCCGTGATTCGTTCGTTTCATTTCACCACTTTGCAGAAACAATGGGAGGTCTATTACATGAATATGAGTATGACATGGTTACAGATGCCTTCATTACACCAAACAAAGGTTCAAATGACTTTCCTTGAGCTACAATGGGCTCAGAGTGGCTGGAAATGACGGGTGTGATGTGCGGCTCACTGAAGTCTAGCGCGAGCATTGGATTCCATGTTTGTCGGTTTGCCGTGGTGGTCTGAGCTGAGCAGCTCCCTTTCTCTGTCATGGGAACAGCCCAGACGCACACCAACACAAAGACTGCAGACGCACACGCACACGTACACCCACGTGTACTGTAGTGCATTAGACCACCTCACATGCTGCTGCAGAATCCATATGCACCTCCACACAGGGACGTGTGCACAGCTTTTAATAGACCTGTCCATCGACACGGTGTGTTTCAGGCCACAGTGGAGGAGTGAGGGAAAGAAGAACAGGAGCAATTCAGTGTAACAAAGTGCTATTCAAAAGGGAAAAAAGGAAAATATAAATGTAGAGATGGAAAGATGAGAGCAGCTACCAAACCGCTGAATGGAAGAACCTGATAACTGGAGCTGCTGCTCAGGACTCATCACATGTCAATCAATGGGTGTAATTTGCATCATCTCTTAGAAATCACATTGATAACTAAGTTAAGTGGTTCCAAATGTCTTTACGTTGGGGTACTTCCTGGTTTGAAGGTTACCTTTATTTATTATGCTTTGCTAACTCTTAAGTCACCTGATGAACAAACAGTACTTCGCATCAACAGATTTATTCCAATGTCGGTGGGGGTGTGTTGTTTCGTTTTGACTCAATCGCCGGTATTTTCAGTTGCCGTGGCAACAGAACATTTTTCCCCTTTGAATTTCTTTTTTGATTACAGTTATTTCTGTATGCAATATAAGTAAAAGACACATTTATTGAGCATGAAGAGCTACCGCAAGAGATTTCTAAATAATACAACAAATATTAAATTGAACATGGACAATAGTGGATGAGTATGGTGCACATCCCGTAGGTTTCACATTTATCTTGACTGTCAGTCATTGAGGGCAGGCTCTTATGCAGAGTGACTCCAGTGAGTGAACCGTTTGTCCCGCCGCTCACAGTCATGCAGGAGACTAATGTACTGATCAATATTCCTCACAGGGAGAGGACGTTCCAGGAAGTATTCCCATAATGAAGCACTGAGATGCTAGAGCTAATTATGGAAAAACACACACGTTTTTATTCCTTCTTGTGAGGACACCCGTTGACGTGACGCATCCTGCAGCCCACAAGCGTAACCTTGACCAACGCATCAACATGCTTACATCGGCCTAAAACTCATTCTAATGTTTGTCCCGTGGTTGTGCAGTTGAGAGTGTTTTTCTTGACAATAACAGCCCTTGTGATGGGTGTGCAATGCCTGCATAGCCTTGCTGATGGCCTTTACTTGTACCCATGACATATTTTGTATTGCATATTGAGTCAATCTAAGTCTTCAACATAACACTAGAACTCTAATTAGGGGCGTTCTGATTTTTGCACTGCAAGGCTTATTTATGCATTAGACTTATAATGAAACATGAGTCCACTAAATTGGCTGGTTGCACACAAATGAAACTTAAGAACATCATCATAGCCTACATAAAAAAATAAAAAAG